GATTTTAAATTAACATTAACTATTAAAATTATAATTCAATTCAGCAAACTAAACTAATTTAAAAGGTAAAAGATAATAAAACTTATTCTTTTGCATTATGAGGCTTTCAAACTTAAGATTAATGTACCAACAGTTAAGCATGGTGGAGGTAGCATCATGCTGTGGTACTGGTGATGAAACAATGAAGTTTAACCATGTTCCGTCTCAAATCAGCAGCTAGAAGGTTGAAAGAAGCGAAGCTGTGTTTCTGGAATGGCCTTCCCAAAGACCTCGACCAGACTGAAAATGTGTGGACCACTCTTAAAACCCAGGTCCATGACATAATAATGAATTTAACTCCATCAATATCTGACGCTTGTTTCTGTATACCTTGGATCTATGGACTGGATAATATCTGCAACATTTAAACCTTTGCACCCAATTATAGTTTTTAAAAATCATTAAACCTCTACAGTGTGTAATCTTCCCGCACTGTAAACAGTCCCAATCAAATGTTTAACGCCTGAATTCAAAACGACAAACGTCCACGATGAGTGCCTGTAAACTTCTCACTGCAGATTTAAGACTTTAACTCAACACTGAGCTGATCTTTGCTTTTTTTGTGAACAGCAGCTGAATTACACAAAATAAATTATATATAGAGATCAAATATTCAAACATGACAAAAAATATTCAGAAATATTCAGATGTTATTTGAGGAGGGGGTATATGAGTAACAAGGTTTTTTCTACTTTTTTTCACAATAAAAGCGCAATRCATAATGTCTATGAAAATACAATGCTTTGCTAAAGTCTCTAAAAGTCATTGATATGTAAGAGATAGACACCAAACAGTTTTTTCAACCAAAAACTGAGATTAATGCTTTTGTACTCAGTCTTGGGACGTTTCGGCTTCGTAGAGTAAATGATGTTTTGTGATTCACTTCTGTGGTATTTAAAGCAGAAATGTCTTTTATTCTGAAGAAATATGGCTAACAATACCAGTTAAAACTGGTTTTACATGTAAGACTGGAAGGCAAAAGGACAATGATGTTAATTGTTTGTTAGCAAAATACTTGAACCACTGGATATATTTTCATGAAACTTGCTGAAATCTGTGCCTTTACCTCTACAACACAGTTCAACTAACTGAGCTTAAAAAACACAAACATGAGAATAACTCCATTTTAGAGTTAGTGGCCTAAACTTTTGTGTAATTGTAATAAAATAAACAAATGTGTGTGGATGTATTGAACCAGGTTATGTCAACAATTTCCACTAAACTCAGCTGAGTGGAAATTGTCAACCAGTTGAGAGTGATTCCAAACACCTTTTCTGAGATTTAGAGGAAAATTGATCAAGATTTTAATTTTAAATTCATCCATTATTAATTTAGAGTCAACTCCATCGGTTAGCAAAATATCTCACAACAAATTTTAAAGAAACTTTCAGATAATAATCAGTGGCAGTAACTCAAAAACTTTCTGCAGCATGTTAATGATAGAAAACATTAAAAATGTCTATATGGTCATTATGTTATAATGTACATGCAAAGTTCAAAGAATGGGTGTTTTTGCAACACGTACTGTCAATGCTTATTTCATACCTTTGCTTAAAGCTTTAACATTTACTGCTGAAGTCTACTCTAACTGTCTGTTAGCAACATGAACTGCTGGACAAATTTTAAGAAAGCTTTTAAAAAGTAATTACTTGATGGACTCTACAGCTAATTATCATTTGCAGTCAATCCAATTCAAGATGGCCACCACAGCCAATCAATGCGAGTTATCACTAAAATGTTAATAAATCCATTTTACAGAAACTAAGATAATCTGGATGATGTCGATCATGTGTGAAATTGCACAAGATGACACAAAACTCATGAGAACATAATGAATCCATCCATTTTATAAAGTCTTTATGCTCAGTTACAAGAAAACTGTTGAGCTAAGTGACTGAGATGTGTTCATTTCAAAACATTACTAGAAAAAAGTATTTTCCATTACGTCCCCTGTGGACAAATTTCTTTTAGAGCCCGGAGATCTGATGCTGTTTTTTTTTTTCTTCTTAAATGAGTTCAATATGATCGTAAGAATCCCCAAAAGGTGTGAATAATGTTAAATCAAATAACTTTATTTGATTTTTCATTTTTTTAACATAACATTTCTTCAGGGCTTCCATAGAGGCAGGCTTCATCTTACAACCAGGCCCTAACACGTCAGTCCTGATGACACTCCGGAGTGGGAGTATAAATGACTTCATCCGGAGAAAAGTTCTGGCAAACTTCAGAGGAGCTGAGAGGGAATAAGAAGAGGCTCGCATGAGATACAGCTGTTTAGTTTGGTGAGTTGGGAAACTTTCCTTATCAACTTATCACCTAATTTTATACTTTTAACGAATCTGTGCAAACTAATATAACTTTTAAACAATTTGGCATGCATTCTCTAAAATGAAGAGATAAATATATAAGAGCAAACCTTCAATATAAACTCAGTTAAATGTTCTTGTGGATTCAGATTGGAAATATTTCAGGAAATATGAATAAAATAGTAAAATCTGGCTGTTTTATTAGCTTTAAACACAAATGTGAGAGGGGAAACGCCCCATTTTGTGCAAAAAGTGTATGTAAAAATGCCCTAACAGCATTTTTATTCGTGTATTAATATATGTTTTAGGCCCTGAACACGGACTCTACTTTAAAAGGAATGGAGCACCAGGAGAACCACACAGCGGACCCCCAGCCCCTTTCCCAGCACATGCAGAGCCCCATGGACTCCCAGGCCGACAGAGATGATGGGAACGCATACCTCTACATCCTAATCGTCATGTCTTTCTACGCAGTGTTCGTGTGCGGCATCATGCTGGGCTACTTCCGCTCCAAGAGGAAGGAGAAGAGGAGGATAAACGTCTTCACGCGCCTGGTGCACGAGCTGGAGCAGCGGGAGTGGGGCGCTCTGCCTACCAAGAAACACAGCCTCTCCTCCCCCGCCGCCGACTCGGGGCTGTCCCTCCCGTTCTGCGGTAACCACGGGAGTCATTTCGGCCACCCCAGGTTCGACGGGCCGCTGGCGTGCGTGCTGTGCACGGAGCAGAGCAGTGTCAGCTCCCTGTGCTCCTCGGCGGACACACGCGTCACCATCGAAGAGGAGGCTGACGGGAGCGCGGGGGAGGAGCAGGAGAGGGGCGCCCAGCCCGACCCCAGCGGAGACGACTCAGGCTGAAGAGGTTCGTCCGTGATGAAAAAAAAACACATTTGAGAGCTGCAAGAACTAAAACCATCAGCTGGAGGAAAACCAGGAGGCCCCTCTGTTGTTACAGGGGCCCGACGAGGACAGCCAGCTGCTAGGAAGCTCTGAATTTGTTTTTACAAATCTGCAAATAAACATTCAGACCCTTGAGGGACACAGACGGATGGAAACAAAGGAAGGAAATCAGTCAGATTTTCTTTGCAGAACGTGAGGAGGCATTTGCACACAATGATTTGAGCTTAATGTACAGAGCAATGACTGCTGCTCAGTCTGATGACAGGAAGAAAACACTTCTGAAAACACACACACACATTTACACACACACATTTATATTTCAGTCCTTATTAAGACTGTTTATTGACTTCCTAGTAAGCCTAAACCACTACTAGTAAATAACATAACCCTAACCTACACCTCCATTTACACCTTAGTCCTAACCTTAACCCTCCATTTACACCTTAGTCCTAGCCTTAACCCTCCATTTACACCTTAGTCCTAACCTTAACCCTCCATTTACACCTTAGTCCTAACCTTAACCCTCCATTTACACCTTAGTCCTAACCCTAACCCTCCATTTACACCTTAGTCCTAACCTTAACCCTCCATTTACACCTTAGTCCTAACCCTAACCCTCCATTTACACCTTAGTCCTAACCCTAACCCTCCATTTACACCTTAGTCCTAACCCTAACCCTCCATTTACACCTTAGTCCTAACCTTAACCCTCCATTTACA